AGGCTGGTCTTGAGCTCACTTTGTAGCCTAGGCTGGTCTCAAACTCGCCATGATCCTCCTATCCCAGTCTCCCAAGTACTGGGAAGCAACCCTTCTGTATTCTGTAAATAATTGTAAATGTTGAAGATCATCTGTCTGAATATTCTGAGATAAATTATACATCTTGTTATACATATATCTAAGCATGAAGTCCAGTAGAACTGATTTTCCTTTACAAAAAGCTCCTGCCACAGGACACAACCATGTTAAAATCTCGTACATGCTCCTGTAGCAAAACCTGCTCCAAAGTTTATCAAACTCAAAGTAAGTTATTTATTTATTTATTTGCTCTTATTGAGACAGGGTCTCGCTATGCAGTTCAGGCTGGCCTTCAGCTCACTTTGTATCCCAGGCTGGTCTTGAACTTGCAACATCCTCCTACCTCAGCCTACTGAATGCTGCAGTTACAGACATGCGCCACCACTCCCGGCTTCAAACTCAAAGTTATGATCATCTTCATGAGCCACAGCAATCTGTACTGGACATGGTTTCTTCATAATCTCGTTAGAGTTTACTAGGTCATCATCTTCATAATCCTTACCTAGAAGGAGGTCGCGGACCAGACATGGTTAATCTCGGCGCTGAGGTTGCTGGTCTGGCGCCTGCGCCTCAGTCCCTGGTGCAACTGCTGCCTTCCCGCTGCCTTGTCCCTGCATTTCAATTTTCAATTCAATAGTTTAGTTTTGTTTTGTTTTGAGACAGGGTCTTGTAGTTCTGGCTAGCAGTTCTGGCTACTTAGTTCTGGCTAGGCTTGAATTTACTATGTAGCGAACTCATGGTGATCCTCCTGCCTCAGCCTCCCCAAGCTGGGATTATAGGCATGGGCCCAAGGAATTTGAAGTCAGAACGTCTCATTCCGAGTATTTACAACCTGAGCCCCAAATGTAAGCAAATAGCTTCAGTTTCTTCATCTGTGATGAGGGAACAACAGTTTCAACTTTATAGGTTGGTTTATGAGCTTCCAATGCAACAACTCACGTTTAGTTTTTTGAAATGTTAACTGTGCGAGACAAATGCTAGTTCATACAGGCACCCATTTTAAAGTTTATCCTTTATTCACACTGATCTAGGGAGTCATTTCCCAGGGTTAAATACGCCCGTTGTACTAAGGATTCAAGATGAGACGCTTGAATCTGACAGAACACAAAATATCTGAGGGGGCGTGGCGCCTTCAGCCTAGTTTGCTCGCGGGGCTAGGCAAGCTGTTGGGTCTGCCCTCAGCGCCTGATTGAAATATTTTATTTCGGCTGTCTAAAGTCTCCCATCCCTCATTATATATACTTTTATTTATTATGATTGCCCGTACATTATTATTAATTTCTGAGACCGACGAGGGCATGTATTCCTACGGAGGTGCTTTCTATCCCTTTGTAAATCCTAAATCAAGTTTGCAGTTCAGGGCGACGACGTAATTTCTGCGTAAAGACAACAAATCACCCAGTTTCACGGCCCCATGGGAAACGCAGGTGACTTTTTAAGATCAGGCACTTGAGTAGTTACCTATTTTCCTGTGGGCGGAGCCACGCGTGGACCGGATGGACCCCGGCGGCACCGCCATTTTGAATTTGCCTAAAGGATCTCCTCCCGGCTTTTCGCGCCGCCACAGCCGCCGCTGCCCGCGGTCTTGCCCGGCAGGATGAATGTGATAGACCATGTGCGGGACATGGCAGCCGCGGGGCTGCACTCCAACGTGCGGCTTCTCAGCAGCTTGTTACTCACAATGAGTAATAATAACCCGTGAGTTGAGCCGGGAGCGCGGCGGCTGCGGAGA